TGAACGCCTTTGTGTGTGTGAGTTACTACTACTGGCACTGTGGCGCTTAGGCTTACTGTTGCACGACGATGCCCTCGGCTGAAATGGATGTGTGCATCAGAGATGGTCGCGTGTGGCAGAAACTTGGGACATCCAAGGTCACTTATGGCCGCAAACATATATTAAAATATCTGACATGAGAATAGCATGGAATGCAACTGCTCGCCTCAGTACAACAAACTAGCGTGTGGGTCTTCATACTTTTAAGGCGAAGAGGCGATATAGGGACCAAAGGAAACAAAGATCCAACAACATTTCTGCGTCAGGTGCTATAGGTGTGATAATTGTCTTGAGAAACCAAAGGAACATGTTTCTAATCTTGCTTATATGTTCTCTTTCTTTTTCCATTTTCTAAGGCACAATTCAAACATCGGACCTCTTCCAATGCGAGGCAGAATGGTTACAGAATTTTCGTGGAAAACACTTCCATCACCGCCTCTCTCTCTCTGCATGTATGGCAGATAGTTGGACATCTCTTAATTTGTCTAAGTGATTAGCCAAATGGCAGAACTTGCATTCGTTTCTTTATTCATTAATAAGGAAAAACGTTTGGGGCAAATTCCATCCTTTCTTCCTTAGGAGCAGCACAATGAATACTGCAGAGACCAAATAAGCTAACAGAACAAGCTGTCTTATTAATTAAACTCAAGTAATTTGTAGCGTTTGGGAAATGGACTAGGCTTAGCCTCATTGAAATAGTGAAATACCTCTTGGTAATAGCTTCTTCGTGTCACCTCACCGAATACACCCTTCTCAACAGCGCTGCTGCCATTCTTTTTATTAAGTGGTGCAATTTCGCTTGACCATGCGAAACACCTCAGGTCCTTGCGGTAAGTCAAGGAGGGGCACTTACACTGCTTTGCCCCACCTGCGCCACGTTCCTAGAAGGAACCAGTAGTAATGGTCAACTTCTATACGCACAGACTTACCCCCATCACCACGGTCTCAATTAACTCAGAAAGCATATTTCCTTTGTAATTATGGTTATTAATATCGACCTTGTATTGACCGCTTATAGGATAGGCCTTTCCGTGTAGACCCTTCTTCAAAAGGAGGCGATTATTCTTCGTGGAGAAGATGACCCAATCCTTACTGATATCCTCTGCTTTTTCATCCTTAGGAAATTCCTCCTCATCTCCGTAGTACGCTGGGGTCCACACACTGTCAAGGTCTAGTTTCAAGTCCGAAATGACGTGAAGTGGATTAGCTGGACTTCTTGATCTAATAGATTGGTTGTTCAAACAGAAATAGTTGATGTTTGGGTGACAAAAGCATTTGTCTGTGCCATAGTGGCGTAATTACTTCTGATATGCATGGGTTAAAGCAGTGAACTAAGATTAACCGCATGAATTTCCGAGTAATAGGGATGAAAACTTGTGGAGAAAGCAGCAACGCCTTCCTGGTGAACATGCAGGTCTATGAAGTTTCACACGTAGGCGATGTCTCCTTCCCCTTTTTGCGCTGTACACTTGGAATGGAAATGAAGACGTCAAAAAGTCTTTCAAGCAACTTACCACTCAGTTTCAGGTGCTTTTGGTCTTTGTGACGACTGTGTTCACTTTTTAGTAGTGGAGGTTCTTCGTAACCATTTGTCGCTGTTACACTCTTGTCTAAGTTGATAGGAAAAAGCGATGGATTTGCTCACCAGAATCCGGGCACAAAAATGCAAAAGTACTTAATTCAACAAGTAGGGGAACGTCTGCAGCTACGTGAAACGCGGTAGTATATCACCGAGGTCGAAATTGCCATGGCAAACGATTACAAGTGCACATTTAATACAAGCACTAGAATGGAGCTATGGAAAAAGTGTGATCGTTTGTTTCCTCTCAGAGGTGGGATTAACTAGATGGCATAAACAAGCTAGTTTTTAGCATTGGGTCGTTAATTTAACTTTTAGAGAATCAATGAGTACGTTACGAGGCCATGATTTAAACTGGTTTGTCTGCTGAACAATAACTTTTGAGATCAAATAAATCATTTCCATAGCCGCAAGAAACTCACTCTGTACACGCCAGGGTAATGCTTCAGGCACAGCTTTCGAGTATTTAGGCGGTAGATAAGTCCGAACTAAGTTCGAACTATCGCGAACTTTGATGCTTTCATCTATGCATAAGGAAATCACAGACCACATAAATTAGCGCGCATGAACCAAAGTTCCATACCATAAGGGAGGACCAAGCAAGATCAAGTTTGCAAAACGAAGTTGGCACAAGAACTGTAAAGAGACCACTCTTCTAACTCCCTGAAGTGGGGAAATGTAGGCGCTTGTGGCGATTATTCGTAATGCACTGTGTGTCGAAGCTTTGGGATGGAGTAAAATAAATGTGCTCGGTGAGTGGATTTTCGTAGCTAAATAAGTGCACATTAGTGCTTATGAAGGTACAAAATTGATTGCTTAAGAAAGGGGCAAAACTGTGAGAAGGAGGACAGTAGTGTTCCATCTGCTCCTAGAGATGAATCAAATAGGATGACCCGTGTGTGTTCACGTTATGGACGGACAAGCTGCACCTGATACCAAATGCTAGGTGCAGGTCTCAATGTTCGTTGTAATTGTCCAACAAAAAGTGTCACAATCGAATATTAAATAAAACCGTATAATAGTTTGTCCCTAAGTGGACAGAACCAATTCCGCCTTCCTCTCAGTACTCACGAGGCCTCACTACTTCTCCTTACACCTATTAGCGAGCCCTTTTGTTTGAGCAAGATTGTAAGCAGGCTTAGTATAAGATTGTGTGTGAAACAGATGATAGCATAAGCAGCAATGAGTGAAGGAGGTGACGGTAAGAGTTCTATCATCCACAAATGTCCGCTTTTAATGTCAATGGTTCTAAAAGTGAGCATGAATTGGAGGAATTGTGGCCTTAGATCACCAGCAGTGGTGATAAGGTAAAGAATATTACCTTTATTAAAACCTTGCCTCAATCGTCCGACTGGTTCTACTAATGCCTTCACAATTTTCCATCTGCACTTTGCTTTAGTTGAGCCTTGTGAATCTGAGACGTCTTTGGTGCATTCCTTTCTTTTCCTTTCATGCTCGTGAGTGTCTCCTTCCATTGGCTTCATGTCTAAAGTCAAGCGCAAAAGTGGCATTGGGAAGCATCAGCGATGTTTGCTGGTAACCACCCTTAACACAAAAGCGCGTAGAAGCAGCACTTTACTTTCATACGTGTGAACAGTTAATGTTTGTAAGATACATCAAGTAAGTGGTCAGGTGGTGCACGGAGAAAAAATGTGTGAAATGAAAGACTACCATTAACTCTTTAGTCTATGGCCTACGGTTTGATGGAAGCAGAAATGTCTGCGCAAACCCCAGATCCTCACCAATCGCCA